ATGCCGAAGGACATTCAGTTGGCCCGTCGTATCCGTGGAGAACGTGCTTAAGTAATTAATTACTCATCTTGATATTAAAAAGGCCCTTTTCAGGGCCATCAATAAAAAAAATATTATAACCGACACCTATCTTTTGACAATGTTTATCGTGTATAACCGAATGAATACGCGGTTATTAATCGTTTGTAGGGATATCTAAGCGGATTTCGAAATCGATATATCGAAATAACCGATATCGATATGTGATATATATACAAAAAATAAAAAATAAAACAATTTATATTATATCATATCATAATATATTATGAAACAAAATAATTTTTAATACTTTTACAGTAAACAAATAAAATAACAAAGGTACTTATAGGTACATAAACATAATAGCAAAATAGTAAACACAAACTTTAACTTATTAAACTGAAAATGGTCATAACTCATAATAATCATCATAAATTATTATAATACATTTTTGTTATAATATGTTAATAGTGAACAATTAAATAACTTACTTAAATACTATTGGTTAAAAAATAATAAATAACAATCACAATGAATTATTTCAAAAATTCCATTGACTTTTGTCCACTGATTGTAAAAAAAGTAGTTTTGATATCCTGGAACCAGTTAATCGGTTTCTTGTCTTGCTAATAGTTTCTCCAGCCTTACTAAAAAGGCGTTCAGATGGTACTGATGTTCCAGGAACCACTAAATACTTCATCGCTAGTTTATATAATTTTGGAAAAATTGTTTTTGTATTTTCCCATTCGATCAATGGGTCAAGATCCAATTTTAAAATTTTATAGTGTAAGTAAGAATTTAATTCTCCTCTAGGAGTATTATTACAAGCTCTATCATTTCGCTTTTTTTCTAATGACTTGTGATGGCCCCATAAATCACAATGTTTGTCTGTGTTGCTACAATCTGGTTCTGCAGTTGACAATGTTTCATTTTCTACAATATCATTATCATTGTTCATCATTTGAACTATGCTTTCTTGGACCTTAGAATTTGCAAGTGGATTTTTAAAATGTATATCCTTAAATCGAGGATCCAACATTGTGCAAATTGGTAATATGGATGTTTGCTCATAAGCTCTACATCTATAGTCAAGTTCTTCGATTAGTTTTGATTTCAAACGTATTGCGACAGCTACATTCGGGATTTTCTTCTCCAATTCATTTCTAGTACCTAATATTAATGGGATTACTTTACTTGACATAACCGTTTTGATTATTAGGTTAGACGAGACGACGAAAAAACTTTTGTAGAAACCGAAATGCTAGTAGCCATGCGCGAGCGAGAAGTACTCTCTCCTGGGCCGGAGTATAAGTGTATAACAATATATTATTGTTGTTCAAGTTCTAAAATTAACAATGGTCATTACTATTTTTTTTGGTTTTTCCGTTCATTCACTATCGTTAATTCCATAGACTTAATAATATTATTATATGTATATATTTTTATGTCTATGGTTAATCCACATTCCACACACATATTATTTAAATTCTGGGGGAACAACGTGTGCTTTATGTGTATACAAAATATAAATATAATTTTTTGAATAAAAATACGGAAAAATGTAATCGATATCCAGAATAAAAATATCGATGTAACCGATATATCGTATTAAATATATCGATATTTCGATATTGTTGATAATATTTGGACATCCCTAATCGTATGATTAATAATCACTCGAATTCGTATGAATTATTATTAATGAATAAATTAATAAATAAATTAAAAAATATAATTAATTAATAAATTTATGAATATTCGTAATCGTTTTTTCGTATGATAACGAGATTCTCGTATCTCGATTGTTAATATTTCGAGACATTCCTCGATTATAAAAATGTCTCCATTACTAATATTATCATTGATAAGAAATATCAAAATTCTCCCATAGTGATTCAGTCGTATTATTAGTATTATTTAACGTGAGTGCTGTGGTAGATTCAGTCGTATTAATTTCGTTTTCCATTTCAGTATTTGTGCTGAACATCATTGTTCTTTTGCAACAATTTTATTTTTTTTCTAAAATAACCAATCGTCTACTGACTATATCCATCAACATATTTCTAAATACATCCCCAATATCAGTTTCTGTTTTCAAGTTGCTTAAAATATGTTGAAGACCTCTAATAAGTGGTATAACCACACTTAATGTTGGGTACTTTTCACTTGATAATTCCCTTGTCATTATTTGAAATGGCTTTAAAATATGAGTACAATCTAATATTATCTCCCACTCGGACGCATTTAAATAGTTTGAAGCTCGAGGTGGAGTTGACATAGTAGCAGATAAAGGGACTTTAATGTTTACAAGTCTCTCCATCATTATAAAACTAGAATTCCACCTTGTAGCCACATCTTGCTTAACTTTTAATG